GTTGAGACAGATTCATGTGGGGAGCCAGCAGTCGGCAGTCGGCCCCAGATGATGGCCGGCATGGTGACGGCCATTGCGCATACAATGCCCTGGGGCGTCCTGCTCATTACCATGTGGTTCGTGCGGAAGCAGAAAGGACTGGTGTTTTGCTGCCAAGGGGGAAATCGGAAATCAGGGTACCGATTCTCCAAGAAAAGCGCACCCCAAGACTATGAATTGTAAGTCTTGGAAGCCGCTCAGAAGTGGACCAGCAAAGGGTCCCTCATTATTACTGGAGGGAGGGAGGGAGGCAAAGAGGCAAAGAGGCAAAGAGGCAAAGAGGCAAAGAGGCAAAGAGGCAAAGAGGCAAAGAGGCAAAGAGGCAAAGAGGCAAAGAGGCAAAGAGGCAAAGAGGCCGAGCGGAAGGGAGGCAAAGAGGCAAAGAGGCCGAGCGGAAGGGAGGCAAAGAGGCAGAGAGGTGGAGAGGCGGAGAGGCAGCGAGAGAGAGAGAGAGAGAAAGGGCACCGAAATAGAAATGCAATTGCTCGCAGGATCCATACCGGCGTATCAAGTCATGATCGTACAGCGTATCATTGGCGCTCCTTGGCGATGGATATGGACAGACAAATGTTGGGGCCCTACAATGGATGCCTTAAAGTTGCACATGAACAGGCCTGCAAAAATTGGAGGGTTGGCCCCTTGCAATTTTTGCGGACGTCCACAAAACCCACCAGAAAGTTAAAGAATCAGAGCCCGTTCGCGAAGGTTCCTCCCAAAGCTTTCCGGGGCCATGGCTTGAATCCAGGTCTTTGAGCTCAGAAGGCTATGGAGTGCGGTCCGAAGGTCATGGGTCAGCCAATCCCAGCCCGAAGGACGCCACAAAAACCAAAGGACGCAAAGGGAAGCCGTCTCAAACCACTCGGTAGGGGCCTCATCTGGAAAATGAGGTTCACCACCCAGAGGCTCCTGGGGCTTTCAATGGAAGACTCGGCCCCTCCAATAGACACCCCGGAGGTAGTTTTCTGGGTCTTTCTTTGAACCTGGAGTCTCCATGACCCTTACAAAATGCGGTCAGTACCCAAAATAATGGCTGGTCATTGACCCATTTTTAAAGGGTGATGGAGACTTGAGGAAGGCCCTAAATGCATCGGGAGGCTGGCAACAGGTTCCCAACACCCAGATTCCCCTTCCGTGACGTGCCCAGTCCTTGCTCAGCAACATCTCGCAGCTGGTCACGGGGATCAATCGATCCATGACGGTGCCAAACAGCTTCAACCGAATCAAGCTGCTCGTCTCCAAAAAGCTCAGTTGTGGTGAGTACTGTAAAAGGGGCTGCCCTTTTTTTTGGAGTTGGTACTCACTGTTTGGTGGTTCTAAAGGGACGCCAAGAGGAAAGCAACCCATTCTCGGAACCCCTAAAAAAGACGCACCCAAATCCCTGCTTGCTTAGTTCCCTGCATCAAACAAATCAAGTTTGGTACCAGGGTCACTGGTCATGCGGCCTCGGACTGCGCTGTACGGATTGCCTGGTAGACGCTTGCAGACCTAGGCGCTTTTTGGCTCAGCCAGACAGGCCACAAGACTCTTGGCGAGAGAGATAGCTCTGTGGGTCTGTGTGAAAGGGGTGGCTCCAAGATGATTGGAGTTCTTTTTGGCTTCCCCTTAAGCCACCCCTTAAAAAGGGCTTCGCGGCTTCACCCTTAAAACCGAGAGATTCGTCTCCCGGCTCGCCGCGGATCTGGCGCGGCTCGCAGCGATCTGACCGGCTCCGATCTGACCGAGGGCGTGGTCCGGCAACCGGCCTTGCAGAGCGTCAACGCCCCCGCGCTGCGGGTGATGGGCAGCTTCACCTTCGGTGGGCTGAGCCTGGGACCGCGGAATCCCCAAGTAACTGAGAAAAGGAATGACCCCGATTCAAACCATGCAACTGGTGGCTTTTGGATATGGATGCGCAACGCCACCATTGTAATGGCTTGTAACACAGTATGTACCCCTGGTATGGCATAACCTCAAAACTCTTCTGAAAATCTTGCAGTATGCAAGCATCAGAAGACTTTTTTGTGATAAGACAGAATCAACCGGGGCTTGATTGATCCTGGGTTCCCATTGGGAGGGTGAACTTCTTTGTGCGCCTTCATGCCAGCGAGCTCTAGATGAGGCATTAAGGCCGGGTTGGATATGGTCGTCCACAAGGCCCAGTGAGTTGCTTCCTTTTTCCCCTTCCTTGGTGGGGGTTTCCCTCGATCGATGGCGCTCAAAGACAGAGACCGGGGTAGCTCCTTTCCTTTAACCAACGGGGGTGTCCCTGGGGGAATCATCACTTGTTGCCCTCCCCCACTAAGAAACTAGGGTTGATGAATATGAGGTCAACAGTACCTAGAGTCTTCATGACCCGTGAAAAATGGGGTCATTACCCAACATTTTGGGGTCATTGACCCAATTTTGAAGGGTAGTGATAAGCAAAGATGGGGCCAAAGAAATGTGACCTTGTCTCGCCGCTCGGCTGACGGCTGAGGAAGCCTGCCTTGAAAGACCTGGACGTTGCCATTCCCAAAGGCGACGCCTGGCTTGAAGCAGGTACCGCGCCATGTGGCCCAAGAGGAAGTCTTCTTCTTCGTTTTGATGGTGCGTGTTGTGTGTGGCTTCTTCACCAATGTGGAGGCACAATCGCTTTTTGACTGATTGAAAGTTTCCTTTGGGCGAGGTGGCTTCTTGTCGGTTGAAGCATCTCCAGGGACCCGTTTGATGGGCTCCAGCACACGGGTTCCGATATCGCTTGCACCAAAGGACAAATTGTAGAATGCTGGAACCCATGTGTGCGAACCCATTGAACGGGTCAAATATCGGGTTCCCCTGGGCTGGGAAAGAGTTGCCGCTCTCCGAAGCTGGAACGCTGGTTGGTTGGTTGGTTGGTTGGTTGGTTGGTTGGTTGGTTGGCTGGCAGGGGTTGGTGGGCTTACTCTTGGGGGTGTGGAGTTGACTTTGGCTTGGCTTGGGGCTGATTTGTGCCCCACCCTCTTCAAGAGCTCAGCCAGCCTAAAACTCACCTTAAAGGCCCTAAACCAACCCCGAGCTGCCAATAAGTGAGGCCGCTGCCGGCGATGCAGCGAAGCCAAATAAGGCCAACATGGGGGGCCTTGTGTTGAACGGGGGCTAGCCAAAAGCCATCAGAAACAGCCAAGCTGCCGAGCTCGTAAGGAGCTGGTCGGGGTCATCGGCAAAGTGGGCTCTGGAAAGAGCTCGTTTTTGCAGGCCATCATTGGAGACCTGTACCCCTTGGAGACGCTTGGCTCACACGTGTAATGAAGCAACTCAAACCTGGTGATCCGGATTCCCTCTCAAATGCAGGCTGCCGGGAGGCTCGACCTGAGTCGGTTGGAGATCAGTATTTTGGGCCTATGCCCAACGACCATGTTTCAAGGGTAAAAGATTGGGCAGATGGAAGAGGACTCAATTCCGGTGAGTTGCCTTGGAACAAAATTCAGTATGGATTGTGATCTTGGATTTGAGCCGGGTTTTTTCAAGGTGGTTGATAGGCTGCGCTCAAGCCGGCGTTCTGCCTGAGGGTCACCAGACCCTAGAAACGCGCCAGGAATGCCTTCGTCGAGGCTCCGGAAGCATCAGCGGGGCATGTCGCATATTGCGCGCAAGCGCACCAGCTGCAAGATCCGGGGGGGCAACAGGGGAGAGCAGAAAGGTTGGCTCTCCCCGTCCGGCTTGGGGCTTGCTTGCTTGCCACGTATGCATGCCCAAGTGGGTTTGCAGGTCTCTAGCCCAGGTCCTTAGGTTCCACTTCTTTCGTTCGCCTCGGCTCGTTTCGTCTTGTTTTAACGGCCCTTCAAGTTTCGGCGCCTTGAGATTGGGGTGCCTGAGGTCCCCTGGATTTTCGAGGGCACCTTGCGGGAGAATGTCATCATGACCTCACCCTTGCAGCAGGACCGTCGCATCCTCAGAACCCCTGGTTTTCACCTTTCCCGGCCTTCCCAGTGAAGCCTTGAGGCTACTATCGTTGCGTCTATGCAGCTGGCCTGGCCTCTGACTTGCAGATCCTGCCGGGCGGGGACCAGGCTTGGAGGTCCTTGTTGCGGAAAGTTGGGGTTTTAGATGTGTCCACCGGTTTGTGATACCAAGCGCCTTAGTAGCCATAGAGATGGGAGGCAACCACTTTGGTATCACAGCAAGGGGGCCATTGCCGGATGGTTCTGTTGATCTGTTGTTTGATCCTACTCTGATTTCGGGTTTCAACAACCATGGTGTTGTGCCTTCTTGCGAAGATACGTTTTTTGGGTTGCAAAGTGCAGGTTAGCAAACCAACAGGGTTATAGTGTGGACCATTTTATTTGGAGGGGTTTGGGAGGCCGGGAGGGGCGGGGTGATCAAAGTCAGCACCTACTTGGGGGGTGACATCAAAAACTGGCAAAATAATTGGCAACACCGACTCAGCTTCTCCCAGCCCGGGAGACCAAAGGTCAGCCAAAGAACTAAAGAGGAAAGGAGCATCATCTTTGACAGAGGGAAAGACATTTGCTCCAAATCCCGGTACCGTGTGTCGCAAAAAAGTGAGGGTCAAAGGTTGTATCACGAGAGCCCTGGAACATACTCCTTACCCAAAGGCTCCCGATTGATTTAGGGCCTTCAAACAACCAGGTTTTGAAACCCCAAACTACCTCCGGGGTGTCAAATGGAGGGGCCGACTCTTCCATTGGAAGCCCCAGGAGCCTCTGGGTAGGGATAAACAAAAGCATAGAATCCTTATTTGGGCGTTCCTCAAAACGGAGCCCGCCGGGGCCTCCATTTTGATGCGCGAGAACCGGCGCCGTCGGTGGCGTGAGGTGACCATCGGCTCCTTTGGCATCCGCCTCTCCGGCGGCCAGCGTGCTCGTGTTGCGCTGGCGCGTGCAGCGTATATGGAGGCAACCGATGCTTCGTGAGGTCATTCCCAGGTTTGGCCATTTGGGTCCAAACCGTTTTGGTACCATTTTAAATGCTAGGTGAATTCACCACCCATTTTAGAACCTAGTTTAGTGGGGATTGGGATGTTCACTGGGGGTACGGGATTTTGACCCATGGGATGTTGTTTTTAAATTTCGGATACACACAAATGGGAGTCCTCTTGTTTGTTGGCTCCCAAGGGAGCCGTAACCTAGTGACTTTTCCGGGGCGAATCATTCGGCACAATAGGCCCACATGTGAAGCCCCAGGAGGAGCGGAACTGGGGGAGGTTCATTTCCGCGGCCGAGAAATGGAGCAGGGGGGTGAACCCTGGATTTTTTGGGGGAAGAGACCGGAAAACCGATATTGGAAACACCCCCAGACTCCCCGGAACTGGGGGCTGCCGGTGCTCACGTCCTTTGGTCAGTTTCAAGGTTCAAAGTCGTCAGGGCATCCCACTTTGGTATCACAAATGTACCCTGTGGATGGACCGGGTTCCTTGCAACTAGCCACCTCGTCCACATACAACACGCGTCTGCGCAGGCGGCGTCCCTGGTGCTGATTGATGATCCCTTCGCCTCCGTAGATGGCCCCACAGGCTCGCAAGCTACGCGCTCACCATCACCTAGTCACATGGGGATCTGGGTGGAGCAAAATATGGTTTAAGTTTAAACACCACCTTCGCCCGGGAAGAATCATCATAATTAACCAGTGGTTAAAACATGTTTAAACCAATGGGTGGCCCCAATGGCAATACCCCGTGGTCGCTGAAAGTGGCTGCAGTTAAGTTGTTCTCAACAAAAAAACAAAAAACTTGGCTTGCTTACCTATGAACCGACACTTAGAGCGTAAGTTTGAGGATATCAAATGGACCAATGTGTGACTTTCTGGCGCAGAGCTCCATTCCAAAGGAAAAAAAAGAGGACGTTCTTGTCATTTCTGCGAGGGCAATTGGGGCAGTCCGAACCAGGAATGGGTGCGGCGGAAAGCCTGCCTTAACCATGGGGTTGCTGTGCATTGGCACTAGGGCCGTTGTTGCCTGGCAGATTTAATGTTTCCTCCCCAACAGATCACGCAACCATGAAAGCTTGTATTTTGATGGTGACTTGGATTTTCCTGTTGGGTTCTGCGCCCTGTGACAGGCGAGCATATTTTCACCCAGCCGCTTCGCTGCACTTGGGCGTGTGGGATGCCAGAACTGGCGATCTGAGTTCTGATTCAAACTCCTTCCAAAGATCAAAGAGGCTAGCAAGCAAGCGCACAGACAGAAGCCAAAACAAATTCAAAGACGCAAACAAGCAAGCACGCAAGCAAGCAAGCAAACACATAACAAGGTAGCACGGCCCCTCGTGGCCAAGTTGCACACACCTGTCGTCTATTCTGCAGGTGAAACGCATGTACATTGTTCGCAACGCTGGCCGGCGGTCATTTCATCCCACAAATGCTTTTTGTAGCAGCGTTATACACCGAACTTCCAGGGGTGTACTTGAATGCTCCATGTCATTGTTTGACAGTAACACTTGCCCGAACTGGAGACCACTCTCACCACGTGAACTTGATGGTGCGAATCGCGTGATGCGCGGGTTCGTTTGCATGTGTGTTCCCTTTGGAAGGTTCCCGGTGATGTGATCGCTACCATTTTTGTGCTCGCAAATGTGTATTCCCCTTCAGTGTGCTCTCTGTGACTCAAACTCTATCATTGTTGCGCGTGGATTCTCGTTTGTTGGCTATGGGTGTGTCGCATGTTCCCTGTGACGTGAAAGCTATGTGCTCCCTGTGATGTGAATGCGGTAGCGCGTGTGTTCTCGTCTTGCGAGTTCACCATGAGTGTTGCCCCTGTGACGTGAACTCTATCATTGCTGCGGGTTGTTATAGTGAACCTGTTCCCCATGAGTGTGCTCCCTTTGATGTGAACGCGGACATTGTTGCGCATGACCTCTCGTGAGTGATTGTTCACTGTCAGTGTGCTCCGGCAAGCGTGCGAGTCCAAAGGAGGCGTCCGACAGAAAAGAAAACACACAAGCAAGCTAGGCAATCAAACAAACACAAAACAAACATAGTCCATCCATCCAATCAATGAATCAATCAATCAATCAATCAATCAATCAATCAATCAATCAACCAACCAACCAATAAATCAATCAATCAATCAATCCATCCATCCATCAATCAATCAATCAATCAATCAATCAGTCAATCAGTCAATCAATCAAACAAGCAAACAAACACATGCAAGCAAGGGCACAAGCAAATGATAAGCAAATAACCAAGCAACCAACCAACCAAGCAAACCAACAAACAAACAAACAAGCAAACAAAACAAACACACAACCACACAAACAAACACACAGTCAAACAAACAAGCAAACAAACAACCAACCAACCAACCAACCAGCAAGCAAGCAAGCAAGCAAACACACGCACACACACGTAAGCAAGCAAGCAAGCAAGCAAGCAAAGCAACAACCAAAGAAAAAAACTCGCCAACAAACACACAAGCAAGCAAAACAACAACCAAAGGAATAAGCAATCAACAAACACACAAGCAAGCAAAACAACAACCAAAGGAATAAGCAATCAACAAACACACAAGCAAGTAAAACAACAACCAAAGAAATAATCAAACAAAGAAACAAAGACACAAACAAACAAACAGACAAACAGACAAACAGACAGGGAAACAAACACACAACAGAAAACAAACACATGACCTCCATTCCAACACACAAACAGGCAAACACACAACATACAGACACACAGACACACAGGCAGACAAACAAGCAAAGCAAACAAACAAGCACAGAAGAAAGTCCAAGCAAGCAACCAACCAACAAACACAGCAAAGAAACCCAGACCAACAAACACACCAAGCCAACAAAAACAAACCAAACAGACAGGCTCGAAGATTCCCGCAAATGGTTTTACGCCTCAACCAGCTAGGGAGCAGATGCCCAAGCGGAGAAACAGCAAATGGCTAGCTTGTTGACTTGTTGGTGCCAAATGAGCGCCCGCTCCCATTGGCCATGCTAGTCGGCAGTACTAGCACTACTACTTTGCTTATGCCATTGGCGATAGTGTGGCGTTTGAAAACCTTTATAACCATCTTAGTAGAACCAAAACTCTGATTTGGGTTTGGGGGTCCCACGCACGCCAGCCTGGCTCCGACTGCAGGCTGGTGACGGGCCCCGTGCTGCGGGATCGGCAGCTTGACTGCAAGCGAAGGAGAGTTGTAGAAACTCCGTGCCTCTTGAGACCTCCTTGTTTCTGGGTGCGGTCAAGTGTTTGGACCCTCTTGGAAGCCAGTAACATGACCACTCTGGATGCCACACGGAAGGAAGCGGCTTGGTTCCAACGAACAAAAGAGCACCAGTCAAACAACAATTTTACTTCATTTCCGGCGTTAAACTCAATCCAGCAACAAGAAAAACTACATGACACATACAGGTTCGGTCCAAACACCCCTGAGAACATAGGGGTCAAATCATATCCTCACAAAATGCCAAGGTCCACTGAGCTCGCATCGTGGCACCGGGCTGACACCCATATGAGCCTAATATCAAGGCTTCCCCGGAACCATTCATCCCATACTAGGTGCGTTTAACCATGGTCACTGCTGGGCAAACTGGGGTCTGACTTTCTACAATGGTCATGAACCGCTCGCAAAAGGTTGAACACCCAAAAATTGTATGTCAGGCCACCGCCCGAGCGTCCAAATTTAGGACACGAATTGTGGTGACGCAGCCAGAGAAGCAGCGACTGCAGCACTTCGACCGCCTGCTGCTTTTTGAGGATGGCTGCATCGTTGAGACGGGTCCACCCGCTGAGGTGATGGACACTTGGCCGTTGCAGTTTTGGGCATGTTCTCGAGCTGGGCAGAAGAGTTTGTTCAAAATGGGAACCATCCATTTCCTTTTGGTCTTCCTTTAAACTGTCCAAACAGGGGGCACCCTCAAAAAAGACCCCTTTCACACTGTTTCGTCAAAAAGTTCAGGGGGCGCTCCGGCCTTTCTCACATGCTTCCCCTGGATGTTTTTGCAACCGGGCGCGGTTCCCCTGCACGTTTTCTTGGGTGCCTCTTTTTTTGTGAATTTTGTGGTAGGTTGTGTCAAAAAGAAACCAAAAGGACGCCACCTAGTTGGGCCCCTCATGTTGGGAAGCCCTTCCTGACGATGCCCTACACCAGGTGCGCCGGTTTGGGTGGCTGGGAGCCGGGATCGGTCGAGGAAACGGACGCCTTCAAGCGCATCGCCGCAGATGCGGAGTTGCTGCAGCAGGAGCACTCACCAAGGATAGAGGTTCGGGACGTGCCGAGCTTATTGAGCAGAGTGAAGGAGTGAAGGGGCCCCAGCACACAAGTCGCTGTTGGTGCCATTGCTTGGTGGTTAGGGGTAGCTACTGGTTTCTCCCCACTTGCTCTCTACAAGAAGGGGTTCAAATCGCCAAACCACCGATCCAAAACCACCGATCGATGTGGAGGAGTTATCAGAGCCCTGATGCAAGCCAGGTGCCCAGCAGCGCGCGCGAGAGGGATGCCATGGCCTTGGTGAAGAAGGCAAATGAAGAGGGCCGCCTGGCAAAAAGTTGCCAGCTGCACCCGGCCTCCGGAGTCCGGAGCTGTCAAAGTAGCGAAGGTGGCGGAAAAGGCAACCCAGTGTCCGGAGTCAACAAATATTATCCAGCTCATGTGAGGCGACGTGAGGCTTGCTTTCACGTGCGACAGCTTTGCTTGGGAGGCTGCACTTTGTTTGCCCTCTTAAAACAATGCCATGTCGGGCATGTGGGTGAGTTTTGCTCACGTGTGCCCGCGGCCTCGCCAATGAGGCAGTCTTCTCCGGGAAGAGGAGGTCAGGGAGGATATCACGTGGTCCACCTTCTGGTGGTGGGTGAAAAACGCAGGCGGTGCCCAACAGTTCTGACCTTGCGTGAGCTCATTCAACGCGGCATTCTGTTTCCTGGCGCTCCAGGGATGCTGAACCTCTTCATGGTCTTGTGCTCCATCCTTCTCCAGGTGGTGACAGAATCTTGGCACCCAGCGCAAGTGCCACAGCCAGCGCGGGGATGGGGAGTCAGCGTTTGCTTGGTCCACTTGGCCAACTTGGGCCTTCCCAATACCGGCGCCCTTGGTAGCAGACCTGTGGCTTTTGGCCGCGGCGTGCACCCAAGGGTGATCCACGCATTGATGGAGAGCTTGGAAGGAGAAACCCCCTGCACTGTAGCTCGGGAGTTTGTGCGCAAAGAGCACTCACCATTGAGGCTTTACAAAAGTCCCGGCACGCCACTTGACGGTGGGCTTGGGTCCCATGAAAGAAGTTGTTTTTGTTGGCCCTGTGTCTGTTTTGTTGGGGGGCAAGTTGGCCAGGCGCTTCACACCAGGCTGAAAAAAAAAACAGTCCGTTTTCCAGGGCGCACAACGCAGTATAGTCCCATGAGTCAAGCGCCCACGCATCTTTCTGTTTGCCCAAGACCTCAGCAATGGATGCATGGCCAAAAACAGAGCACACACACACACACACTAACCTTGCCACATTGAACATCGCGCTTGTGACGCTTCCTGTTCCACTCTGGGGCCATTTTGCTTGTGCGCGCGCGCGCGCCTGGGGCGCTGTTCTTCCGGCAACTTGTCATAGGCCAGCGTTCCCGGCTCCGGACCCTCGAAGGCCAAGCGGCACCTGGCAAATGACTTGAAGGATGACTTTCTTTCTTCGGACGTGTTTGGTTCTACTAGGTTCCCCCAGTAGTGCCCTTTTACTCTTTTTGGGGGAGGGTTCCCCTGCTAAAATAGACTACAGAAGAAAACAAAGGTACCCTTATTCTAAGCGTTGACGCGGCCTGCCACGCTTACTCGCATGTTTCTTGCGCCCAGGAAACGCGAGAGTCTTTGACGGTGGCCGTTTGGGTGGACGTCAAGGCTGGTGATGCCAATCTCAGGTGCTCGTTGCAGGCAGCCAGCATCCCAAGCCAATGCGACTGGCATCTAACATCCTGCATAGCGAGCATGTTGGTGGCCCAATATTTCAATATCAATATATGTCCGCGAAGAAGGACGAAGTGCTCTGAATGTAAACTGAAGCTGATTCCTACCAGTCATCCCAGATGTTCAGTGGATTTCACCTCCATATCCCCTTTTGGTGGGTTCTCTATGGTGAACCAACCAGAAAAGGTTGCAAAACAAGTTCCTTCTAACCCTGCTAATTCTTTGGTGGGTTCCCCTTATGGTCCACCTTTGCTGTTGCAGACGGCTGAAAATCATGGCAGGTGATTGCGCCCGAGGTGGACGATACAATTTTCATGCGCCCGGCCTCAATTCCTATATTTGGTTGTGTCTTTTGTTTGAGGGTACTGTTTTGGGGTTACTTCCAAGACAAACCAAAAGGAAGCCATCCATTTTGGGGTTCCCTTATTTTAAGTCACACCCAGGTCCGGATTCTCAAAATAGGATACGGAACCCGGTTCTTAGGGGCGTGTTCCTTTCGGCTTTCCGGTGAGGAGCGCACTCAAAAGCAGCAACCTTCAATTTGTTGCACACTGGGGTTGATGTTTTTTGGTCGGAAGTATAGGGGGCTCTGGTCAATGAAGCACATGAGCCCGGCTGCGGTTCAGATTTACAATCGCAGCCTGGCGGTCACCCGAGGAATCCTTGCGAAGTGGGTCCGGGGTCAAAAAGGTGTCGAAGTGCTTGTGGGTGCACTGACTTGGATAGGGAAAGGCTCAGGGGCTTTTTGAACGGGGCCTGAGTGGATGTGGCCATGGTTCAAAACCAATGGGATCCCATTTTGGGATAGGTGCATCACCCATTTTCGTCTGTTTTAGTGGGGATTGAGAGGTTCACTGGGGGCTAACCGGGGTTTTGACCCATGGCCATGTGACAAGTGCAACCGTTTATCCAAGGAACCTCCCAACTGGAGGTTGACAGTTCGTCTTGCTCTAAAGGCTGCGGAGTGGAGAAACGGATGGACAAAGCTGGGTGTGGGGAATGGTCGTTGTGCTCATCCGTTTTCCATTTGGCTGGTACTCGGTAGGGAATGAGGGAATGAGGGAAGGAAACCTGGCTTTGGTCCCCTGTCCGCCTGTCCGCGTTTCTCATAGGTGGCTTAAAGGGAACCCTGAGAACCCCTCTAAACATTCACTTCTCTCCCAACAGCCTCTAACCTTAGCTGCTCATGGACCCAAAGAGAAGTCAAGTACACCAACGTTTGCTTGCTGGTGCTCAGTAGGCAATGAGGAATGAACCCAGGGGTCCCCTGAAAGGAAACCACATAGGGGATGGTTTCTCTTGGGGTCATTCCATTTCTCATGCCGTGCCGACTGCGCACCGATCGCAGTCTTCAGAAGCTGAGGTCTCGACTGGCTGTGGTGGTGGTCTGCTGCTGCGTTTGCATTATTATCGCCTTCTGGCTCACTGCCTACACAGCATTGACAGCTGCCAGGACCGCGCGTGAGCCAGCAAGCTAAGAACCTATCTCTGACATAGCTTCTGAAAATGGGGCCCTTCGACCCCCTTTTGAATTGGCATTTACCTTCCCTATCAGTTGTGCAAGGTGGGTATCGGTTTTGGGTAGGCCATGTCCTAGGGCTTTCCGGCAGTATAATATGAGCGTTGAAAAAACAAACAAACTCAAATTAGCTATTTCAGGGGACCAATTCCTATTTGGTGAGACACCCATGGGAACACAAGCCCTTGAGCTGTTGGTCCGTTTGCCTCCGGCCGGGCGCAGGACGCTGCACAACACAGTGATGACCAGTTTGCTGAAAGCACCAGTGGACAGGCCTGGCCTTAAGCAGTCAAAGCAAGCAACGCGAACCCAGGATCAATAATTGAATTTGTTGCTGTATAATTATATATGTATATAAATATAACATAGTACCCCCCCCCCCCCCATGGGATCTATTTTTTAGAGCTGGTATTTGCAGTGTTGTCTGCCTTTTTGTTGCGGTCCTTTGGGGAAAGCAGCAAACAAAAAACCGGCTTTCCAAAGACAATCTGGGAATCTTGAAACCTGGCCCGAATGAAATCAGGGTCGTGGGATCGATCCAGAAATTTATGCCCAATTCTGTGGTACAAGGGAATCACCCCCTTTACATGGTTGTTGTTGGGAAACATTTTACATTTTTGCTTGCTGTGGTTTAGTGGGAAATCCCTACTTAACTGCTAAAATTTAAATTGTTGCTCCCCTTCCAACGTCAACCAAGTTTATTTGGGGGGTTCGCTAGGAAACGCTTTCTGTTGTATCACAGTGGATTCCATTTCCCACATGGTTTGAATCTACCGTCCTACTTCTAAGCTGAGGTTTGGTCATATGTTGCAAACACAAACAGCTCTATATGGGAGCTAAAAGTAAAACAGTAAATGTAGAGTTCTGGAACCATTGGCCCCAAAGTAAACATGTAAAATCATTGAGCCAATGTAAAAGATCAAAAAACAAACGTGAAAAGAGGAATAAGCACACATGTGGAGGCAATCGCTCAAAAAGTATCAATTTACGCGAATATTTGTTTGGATCTAATGACCCGAAAGTAAACATGAGAGAACGTAACATATTTTAGTCCAAGGTCATCGCATTTATGTCAGGACCATACTTGTTTGCTTTGTTACTGTTGGAGCCATTAGCCCCAGAAGTTTGCTATTTTTACACATTTGTTTACAGAACAATGCAAACTGTTCGGCCATTGGCTCCAGACGTTTACTTTTTGCTTTTAACTCCAGCTGTTTTTTTTTTTTTTGAATCTTCTGACCAAACCTCAGCTTGGCCATATGACAGGTTTAGGGTGTAGGGTGTAGGTTTAGGGTTAGTTATAAGTTAACTCACGTTTATAGCAGTCGGAATTGTTGTTTTTTTTTGTATATACGTATATGCATATGACATATTTGCTTAATGAAATTCAACTTGTTATTGGTTCAATTGCTATTGTTGTCTCGCTGTATTATTTGGTTTCGCCTGGAATTCAACAAGAACTCGATTGGGAATTTTCAATTTAGAATTGTTTGCTTGTCTCAAATTAGATTTGAACGATGTTTTAATTTCCCTTGACGTTTTCTTATGTTAAGCCCGATCAAATTAGAATTTAAGTAGAAATTAATGCGGACATAGTTTCGTAGAATGTCTAGCTTGAAAGATAATTTACATTGTGTTTTTCTTTAGGTTTTGTTGGATTGTATTATTATTATTATTTCAATTTAGATGTTTAAAACAGATTTCCTTTTGCTAGACTGATGGTTTAACAGTTTCTAACTAGATGCTTGAATGGACATTAAACGAGGGCAAGTCCTACTAGATCTTCTAGTGTGAAAGATGATTCAAGCAGGATGTCCTTTTTAATATGATTAATTGGGATTCTTACCGCAAATTGGAGTTTAAAGAGGACTTCCTTTCCCAGGATGTTCTTTCGCTCCAATGCCTAAGTAGAATGCAAATATAATTGGATTCAATTCCAGTGGAACTTGTAACTTCAGAGAGAATTCAACCAGGATGTTCTTGGGGCAATCCAAGTAAAACAACTGCATTCCATTTTCAAAAGAGCCTTCAAACAACAAAGAGGTGGATGCATCGGGGGTTAGCATTTTGATAGATAAGTATGTATAGAAGGGGTGTCGGAAAATACCCCCCCCTGTTAATATGTTAGCATTCTGGAACGGCTTGCGTTGCACATGCATGCCTTGATGCCTGCAGCGCTCCAGCAAATTCGATCCGACTCAGGTTCTTCGACAAGCAGCCAGTGGGTCGACTGATCAATCGGCTGTCGTATGATATGAAGCAGGCCCGTGGCTTGAGAACTTGCTGGGTAACCTCAGGTGGTTGACCCCGGATGAATCAACCCTGGTGGATTAATGCTTGGGTGTTCGGCCAAGAAAGTACGTTGCTAGTAACCTAAGTTATATCACGCTTTTCTAAATCCCCCTAAGTGGAGTTCACCCTGTTCTTAGCGGCTCAGAACCCAGGTGGCCAACCAGTTTCCAACTTGCTCGAACATCCAAGTAGGGAGGTGTCCCCGCTATTAAAATTCTACAGGGGAGGCACTGCGGAGGGGAACGCCCAACCAGACGGGTTTTTGAATCCGGGGTCAACACGTGGTCACTTGTAGAGGGCAAATGGGAAACCACCCCAATCTTCCAAACCAATGCAAACCACGAGGGAAGCTGAGGTTGTCCATGGTGTCGCTTGTGTGAGCCCTTGCTCGGTCAGGTGGATGAGACCTTCGTACAGGGCTTAGCATTTTTCAGACGCTGACTTTCGATTGTGGCGAAAGGGCAAGTCAGAGTGCTTGGGTGCAAGGTGATGGCTCTCTTCGCTATGTCATCCATGGTTACATCGCTGCTCGTGACGCAGGGCTTCGTGTTGTCCGTCATGCCACGCCGCTTGGACCATTCTGGACCCATTTTGCACTAGGGTCATTCCCGCCATGCCAAGCATTTGAGAATCTTTGCTTGTGATTTTCCAGGGTAACAACTTGCCAAGGTTCAGTTGCTTTGCTGTCCACCCCCGTCTATGCAGTGGCGCCACTGGGCTTGTGGTGGGACCAGCATGGCCGGATTTTGTACTTTCTGCCAGGGAGCGGTGCAGCAGCGCCTTCAGTCATGGAAGCCAGTAGAGGGCCCATATTGAGAGGAAACATCTCCAAACTCCCTCTCCCCCCCTCTGCCCACCCGCAGTGTGTAGTGGACCGGGTGTCTACTTTGAGATATGCAGCCCAGATGTTTCCCAATGGTAATACCACGGTAAGTAAGATCGAAGAACTTGCCGATCGGACACATGCCCTTTGGAAAGATCTACTTTCCACAGCGTGTGCCGCACCTACCCTTGAACCGCGGGGTTAGTCCATCCTAGACCAGTCCAGCAGATTTGGTTTTCGAGCGATTCCACGTCACGGGTAGGACGAGAGAAAACCCATGTTTTGTCTTGGGCTTTAAACTCTTTCAGGTGTTGTAGAATTCGCAGAATCCAAGGCTGTACTTTGTGTACTTGTACCGGGGCACCGCCGTGCCGCTGGTGTTTCATTCTAAGCACTCCTTGTCCTCACTGCAGGACTTGCAGGCAGTGCCTTGGCCGCGGCTTTTGCGACCCATAGACCGCTGACCCGGCTGAAAGGCGTGTCTCAAAAGCATGTCTCAAAACAAGGGGACCAGCAACATGGGTTGTCCTTTGGTTTCCCTTTGAAACCAACCCCAACAAACTCACCCTCCAAACAAAGAAACAAGCAGCAACCAACAAACAGAAGCAAAGAAACACACACACAGAAAGGAACAAGCAGCAACAAACAAACAGAAGCAAAGAAAACACACACACACACACAGGACCTGGTTTGATTGTCAAAGTTTGTTGCGTTGCTGAATCTGGGACCATGCTTCAGCGCCACAGCCGCTGAACCAGGAGATGGCGCAGACAGAGAGGGAGAGAGAAAAGAAGAAAGCACACAGACACACAGACACCCCACACACACACACAAACACACAAACACACACACACAACACAAAACAGAGACAAGCACAAACAGACACACAAACAAGCAAACATGCAGACATGCACAAACAAACGCGCAAACAGACACACAGACACAACCAACACGCACACACGCAACCAACACACACACACACACAACACACATACATACAACACTTGCGCGCAGCACAGACACAACCAACACACACACACACACACACGCAACCAACACACACACACAACACACATACATACAACACATGCGCGCAGCACAGACACAACACACACACACACGCAGAAAGGCAAGCACACACACACACACACACACACACACACACACACACACACACACACACACACACACACACACGCACAAACATGCAAACACATTCACAGAGACACACACGGCCGCACAGCCGCACCCGCAAAGACACAACCACACAAACACGCAACCACACAAACACAAGCACCGCACCCACACATAGGAGACACACACACACAACCACAACCAAAAGAACAGAAACAAAGACAAATACAAACACGGCAAGCACACACAATCAGAAACACAATCTCAAACAAACACACACACACACAAGACACACAACACACATACACACAACACACACAACAGACACACACACAACGCGCACACACAACGCGCACACACACACATACAGCCACAACAACCAGAACAAGCACAAACACAAAAACAAGGACAAAGACACACCACACACACACACATACACATAGCCACAACCCCAAGAACAAACACACACACATACACACACACGAAGACACACAGAAACACAGACAGAACACACACACACACACAAATACACAACACAACACACACCACCAACAGCCACAACCACAAGAACAAACACATACACGATCACAAACAAAAAGACAACCACGCACACAACACACACACACAACCAGAACCACACGAAGAAAAAACAGGCACAAACACAATGACAAGCACAATGACAACCACAACCACGACCACGAAACCAAACACAGACAACTACACAAACACATCCAAACAATCACAGATACCAAAACGCGCACCAACACAAACACACAAACACACAAACACACCAACACCAACATGAAGACACAATGACAACCATAACCACGACGACAAAGACAGACACAAAGACAAACACAAACACAAAGACACACACACACAACACACACACACATAGCCACACCCCCAAGAACGAACACACACACAACACGACCACAAACAGAAACACAAATAGAACACACACACACACAAACAAACAAACAGACAACACAACACACACACAACACACACACATACACAACCATAACCACACGAACAAAGACAAACACACTAACACGAACACGCACACACAACCACAACCACGACCAAAAACATTCACACACACAAACACACGCTGTCACGTCCACGTTCACACACACAAACACAAACACCAACACACGCACCAACACAAACACACATACGCAAACACAAAGACACAATGACAATGACAAACAACACCCCGACGACAATCAACAACAAAGACAAACACAAACATAACCACCAACACAAACGCAAACACACACACACACCCAGACACACATACAAAAGAGAAAACCAACATAGCTTCACTCTCCAACAAAGGGGATTCTAGACGATTCTAGATGGCAACCAAAGCACACGACAAACCCCCCAAACGTCGTCACAGGCTCAGCCATGGTCAAAAAGCCTCCCCTTACTCGGGGTTGGGGATGGTCGTTTAACATTTTGGAGGTTTAGAACTTTTGGGTGGCAAAATCAGGGAACTACTCCCCACGAAGGTGTCCTTTTGGGAAAATAGATGGATTTCCCCAATAAATGGGGCATATCAGCCATCTAAATCCAGAATCCTGCGCCACTCTGAAACCATGGCAAACCATTGTTCGATGGCATTTACAGGGGGAATCATCATTGCAGAGGTTGTTAGGTGGATGAGTTCGCCCATCCACAGTATGACCATGGCCCATTGCAGTTTTGACCGTCGGCCGCTGGTGCACTTGGCTCTTGGTTCTCAAAATTGGGGACCTCTCGAGGAGGTTGGTTTACTGTTGTTGTCCAACCATACAGGGTAAAGAGACTCTCGCATGTGATGCGACTTTGCTCCACAAACTTGAGGGTACAGTATGCCTTAACCACCAGATCCGTTTACCCCCCTTTTACCAGAAGCCAAAAGAGCTTGTCTTATCAGTGGTTCAAGCCCATGGTGGAAACCACCCCCGAACCTTTCACCCTTTGCCTGGTGACATCTCTGAAGGTCGTGGTTTCCCAGTGTGTGGCCATCCGGGCGAACGGCATGCTGGACAGCTTCATGGTGCGATACAACCACTACTCCCAGAGCGTGATCCGAAGCCAGCCGCTCGATTTCGCAAGCGCCGCGTGGGAGTTGGGAGTTGGGAGTTGGGAGTTGGGAGGGGGGGGGAGTTGGGGCGCATGTTGTGTCGAGGGGTTCGGAGGTGGAAGGGAAAAGGGCCAATTACACGGGGTTAGTTTCATGTTTAGTGCTGGTGGCGCAGTATGTCCTGCTCAAAGTGACCAGGAAGGCAGATGTGCAGATTTTGGGTAAGGTTTGCGAAGCTTCCCAAGGGAGCCATGACCACGGCACATGTGGCACCTAGGTATTTGATCTACTACGTTTGCCGAGCATGGGCTCAGTCCCGAGTCCGGGACCCCAGCAAGGGATCGCGTTGCGTTTCCCCTCACGACCTGAGCCGTAAGAGATTCCCCAAAACAAAGCAATCCACGCGCCTTTGCCCACGAAGTAGCACTGTCTAACTTTTTGGGCCTTGGGAGTGAGCAACCACCCATATGCGATTCGATTCGTTCATGGCGTGCGCGCCAGGTTTGCATTTGTCCTTGCTGGTGCTCAGAAGGGAATGTGGGAATGAACCCAGGGTCCTCTTCAAGGAAACTATAGGGGATGGCTGATAAGGGTCATTCCCTCATTCCCTACTGAGCACCAGCAAGTATAGGCCTGGGTTGTTCATGAACCCTTCAAGTGGTGTCTTGGTGCCCCACTACGGCGGCACGGGTTGCGGATGTAGAATCTGGGGATCTCCCCCCACCCATTGTGATGTGTCACCATGCCAAGGTGTTTCTTTGCTTCGGCATTCTTTGCGGTCTCTTCGGCATTGGCGGCTTATGGGGGGGCGTGCCCATGGGCATGCTGGCCACCTGCATCACCTTCGCCTACTTCCAGATGGGCCAGTTCGAGAGCCTGCCCTGACCTTACATCCTTAAAGGGGACACCCTCCTAATCAACCAGGAGTTTACGAACCCGGGGCTTCCATGAACCACCTGCCTTCTTCTCCTTCCACTTTCGGCATGGAGTGAGCTCTGAAGCGCCATGCGTGGCTGTGGGTCAAAACCAATAGTACCATTTTGGGGTAGGTGCACCACCCATTTTAGTCTATTTTAGTTTATTTTAGTGAGGGTTGGGATGTTCACCGGGGGTACGATTTGGATTTTGTCCCATGGCCATACGTGAATGCAACCAAGTTGTATGACCTTCACGGTTCTCTTGAACGTCCTGAATGCGCTCCAGAGATTGGTGCGCTATGTGGACCTGCCAGCGGAGGCTGGCCCTTCCCACTCATTAAACGGGAAGCAAAAAGGACCAGGAAGACCCCAACTGTAGCTTCGTGGCCCCTTGGGTTGCGTTTAAAAAGAGAAAGAAAAGCAAACAGCAAAGTAATGTGTGCCTGTTTAGACTTTCCACCCTTCGCGGGGCTCGTTTCTCGCGTGGTGGAACACTGGCAAGGCAGCCTTCGCCCATGTTGGTAACGGGCTGACTTTCCCGCCATGTTCCAACGGGAAACCAAACACACACCAAAAAAGGGAAGCCAAATGGACACCAATTTGGAGAAACTTGTTTTTACAAGAAGTTGTTCCGTCCAAAAACATCGTCTGAAAACAAACCCAACAAAAATCAAAGGCCGAGATCCTTGAGATCCCTTCTCCTCGGATGTGGCTCTCGGTCAAGACTAAACAACCAGAGCACCGCAGATGTTAGTTCACATGACCCGTAGCCATGTGAGAGGTAGAATTTTCGAAGGGTCCATAGGATTCGTAGAGCCTACCTGGCAGCCCCGCCATGTGGCGGAGGGTCAAAATTAAACCAACAGGGGACTGCAGATTTTGGTCCATGTTTCCACTTACCAGGGTTCCATTTTGAGGTTGCCCTATTTTTGACCACCCAGATGTTTGACTGGAACGCCCCTGGAACGCCCCCCACGCCCCATGCCTTTTTTTGACCCACAGCCTGGCCGTGGCACTCAGGCGGCCTGCGATCTGCCGGGGGACTTCGCGGTGCTGCGGCGTCTGAAGCTGCGCCGCGAGGAGCTGGTGCCACTGCAGCTGCGCCAGGCGAAGCGAAGCGAATCGACAGGGGAACCCGAGTCCATGGGCTGGTCATGTTTTTTTTGTTTCACCTTTTTTGGTGGCTGGCTCGTCTGTTCTTTTAGACCCCCCAAAATGGTGGTGTTCCTTTCGTTTTTTGTGCCTCTTTTTTTTGGAGGTTGGACCCCCCCCCGATCTGGCGCAACGGGTTTCCCTTGGTTTCCCTACACAGACCAAAAAAGGGCACCCTTAAAAGAGACACCCAAATGGTTTCCCTTGAACTTGGAAGAACCTGAACTCTCTGCGTTCTCTACCTGTTGCGCATCATATCACCAAATGAGATCCTGCCACTTGAGAGTTGGACCAACAAGGTGAGCTGAAATTGGCACGGAGGCCCCATTGGGGTCCTAATAAAATGCATAAAGAAAACACATGGAAGCCATCATTCCCGTAACCATGTCCCATTTTTCTTCTGCGGCCCATGGCTGGTGCACCCTATCGACTGCTCGACGTCGACTCGAATCGAGGTGGTCGAGGAAGGTGTTTGTCGTTGCTTGCAGGCTGAGGCGTTTTTTCTTGGGGGCCCGAGCGGTGGCATGTTGAGAGGGTGTTGCGTTCATTTTGAGTTTTGCACTGTAGGGGGTCTCAAAGTTTCGGAATTGGGGGGGTTGTTTTGGGATTTTTGTTGAGCGGTTCTTCCCTTTCTCCGAGTGGTACCTTTGTTCATATTTCGATGAGATAATTCGCTATGGGCAGGACTTCCCTTTCCAGGCTTACCCACCCTTCCCAATCGGAACCCAGCATGAATAAGCCCCTGGATTCTCATAGAGCCTGCAGTTTCGGGGAGTTCCGATTTCTCAACACAAACTAGGGATTCGCTGCACTGAGCGAGGTGGGAAAACGTGGACCGGGCATCTCCTTTGAAATTGTTTCGTGGTTCACCAAATATGGGACCAGACTCACTCATTGTTTCCGTTATGTCGAGCTTTAACCATGGGTCCTGGGATGATACAGTACATGAGTGTCCCTAGCAAGCTATTAGAACCCGTTTATTAGAAGCCGTTCATTAGACCCGCTTTATTGGCCCCTGATTTGCAGCATGGTTTCGGGAGAATCTTGGTGTTTGACGCTTTGAGGTCTGCTTCAACCCCATGTGCCCGCGAGGTTTGTCCCAATGTTCGCCCTTTCCATTTGATTCTCGAGTTTTTTTTTCCGCTACCCCAGAAGCTTGTTGGCTTTCCAGTTTCGGTTTATGTCCTAGCTCAGTTTATGCGAGTTGGGCCTTTTTTTTCGTGGATTTCTCGCGACGCATTTGATCGTCCGCTGAATGGCTGCAGCCCTGTTGAGGTTGATTCTCTGTTTTTTGCACCCATCGTTCTCAAGAGAGAAACCACCAATGTTCAACCGGGGGTATGTTTCCCATTTCTCCAATAGAGAAACCACCCATTCTTAAAAATGGGTGGTGTGAAGCCATTTTTTTGAAAAACAAAAACGGGTCCCTGAAGAGAATTTGGAAGGGTTCGGATGGTTCCACTTCCTTTGGGAGATGGCGTGCCGCCTGGGCTTGTGAAGTGGCTGTCTGAGTGGCCGGCGGAAGCATACCGCTTGCGTTCTGCATCATCGCACCCACGTGGAGTCTGATTGGTAGGTTTGGACCTGTCAAGGCTTGGGGCATTGGGACCACTGAACCTTGCTTGATAAACCCCCTCAGCCACGAATGCCCCCGCAAGCCTGCCCTCTAACAACCGCCCTGCTTTGATTGCTTTCGCCATTGGTGTGCGTGTGTGTGTGTGTGAAATTTCTTTGGCGGGGGTAATTGTATGCGCCATGCAAAGTTTGGGGCTTGCTTCCAGTGACACAGTCCTCTTGGCTCGAAGCCTTGACATCCAGGGCTCGGCCGTTTTTCAGTCACATTGAAGTTTCCGACAGACCTGCGATGCTCTGCTTGCTGGGTTTGTTGGCTGTGCGCCTGACCACCGGGCTGGACTCTGTGGTGGACTTCAGCAATGAACAGAAGCCGATTGCAAAAGTGGTGTCCTTGCTTCAGTCCATGTCCCAGACACTGGAGGAGGATCAGAAGGCGGACGATGACATGAAGCAGAAGTTGGACTGTTGGCGTCTTGATCACTCTAGCCTTTGACCTGGCTTTGACCTGGCAACACTCTCAATACAGTGGTTTCCCTTTGGTTTTCCTTCAAAAGCAACTCAAAAGTGTTCCCTCAAAAAGAGACACACCCAAACGGGGTGTGACCAAGGTGTAAGAAGAACGGGGAGGAGAAGGTGACTGCGGCAGCTGCAGCCCAGGACAAAGTGGAGACCTTGACGGCGCTGGTCGGCGAGCTGGGTCCCAAGATCGAGCAGCTGGGGACGCAAATTCGAAGCGCCACGCAGGAGCTGAACAAGAACAAGGCCACTTTGGAGACCGCTGCCGCGATTCGACACTGGGCGCGAGAGATCTGTCCGGCTCGGGTAGGTGTCCTAAAAATGAACCCGTTGTCCTTTGGCTTCTCTCCATGTACCAGCCAGAAGGGGGTCCAGCATGTTCATTTTGAGACACGAAAAGGACGGGCAGACCCGCGATTTCGCAGATAGAAAGATGGCTCATTTCTCCAGTCCTGCACCCTAAAAATTGGTCGTCCGCCCTTTGGCTTCCCCTTAAAACGAGTAAGTACCATCCCAGGAGAGGAGCAGCTCAAAGCCTTCAAGGAGGACGAAGCCTCCCTGACGGCGTCCATCGACAGTGTCACCAAGGCCAAGGATGCGATGAACGTGTCCTTCGCTTCGTTCCCCGACTGATCCGAGCGAAACGAGCCGATCGCGGATCGCGAGCGGCCATGGCCACTTTTTTGGCTTGGTTTTGGTCACAAAGCGACGCCTTTGACCTTTGTTGATATTTTTTTCCCGGTGGTGGCCCAGGGTAGGCAAGCTTTATGTCCAAGTCCTTTGGGCAAGTGAATTTCGAACACACAAATTCTGGCGCATTGATGGTTCCGCATGGGAGCTTTGCTGATTGGAGGGTATGGGGTTGCCACAATCCCCTGTATGTTGGTCAGTTTGTTTGTGGCAATGTTGCCAGGCATTCACATGTCGTGTGTCCCTCGCCAGTATTCCATTGGCCAGATATCCATTGGTCCATGCTGTTTGCCTGCTTTTTTGAATAACAGTCCGCAGTCCTCATGCTGGATGACCATTCTGAACAAGCCAGTTTCCAGGGGTCAAACATGTTTAGTCCACTGTTCAATCATCCTCATTTAGGTTTCCTCCAAAGCCAATTTTGCCAACGTTGGGGGTCAGCCCAGGTCTGAGATGCAGTCGGTGTACGCATCCCTGGTGCAGCGTCCAGATGAGATGCGGCGCCTGGCGGCTGGCCTGCAGAGTACGTTGGCCACGGGCCGGGGGTCCATGACGTTCAGCAAGCTCTCGAGCGGCGAGAGGATGACCTTGGACGATTTCATGAAGGAGCGAGCTGCTTCTGGGTTCCGGGGTCCTGAGGCTTGCACAAATTCTGGAACAGGTTCTACCAAGCGGGTGATGGCCTTATGTCTTAGATGGCGAATCAAGAAGCCAGGGCGCCTTCCTAGTTCAATCCAAGGGCGTATGAGAAAGATGGGTGAGGAGAATGGGGGACCACCCCTTTGGATGCGCCGTTGGAGAGAACCTAAGGCGTCCACCCTAAAGGATTTTTGCACCTTCTTAGAAGAGGTTCTTAAGAGGCTAGGTCCCCCAGTAGTGCCCTTTTACCCTTTTTTGGGGGAGGGTTCCCCTACTACAATAGACTACGGAAAAAACAGGATTCCCTTATTCTAACCTCTCTACTGGAGGACCTAGGAGGGGTTCTGAAAGGCTTTTTTGAGGGGACGATGCTGGCAGGACCCGATGACGTTCCTGCGAGGCCGATCCTCCTTTCTCCAGCGGTCCAAGGAGCCATCGGGCTCCACCATCGCGGGCATCCTGCAGACCTTGGTGGATGACTTTGCCGAGGACTTGCAGAAGGAGCTCAGCGATGAGAAGACCAACCAGAGATTTGGCGAAATGACTTGCTGGTTCGATAGGGGGGGCTTTGGCTTGCTGCCTACCTGGAGTCTCCACGACCCTTAAAAAATTGGGTCATTACCCAAAATAATGAGATCTTAGACCCATTTTTCCAGGGTCATGGAGAGTCTGGTTTCCTTTTCTTCAAGTCAAGCCCAGGAAGTCCTACGGCGAGCTCAGTGCTGCCAAGGCACAGGAGGTGAAGCTTCTGGAGCAGCAGATCATCGCGAAGACCGAGGAGTGCCCACAAACTCTCCGTCCAAAGCCGACCTTTTTAGACCCGTTGGGTTTTCCATTTTGGTCCATGTCCTTTTTAGACCCTTTGGGCTTTTGATTCTGGGCCATGTTTAGTAGAAATCGAGCTTTTGGACCTTTGAGTTTTCCCATGTTGGCAACCATTTTTAGTAGAGGTGCCAAAAGGTGATCAACTCCTATTTCCAGGTCCTTTGGGCAAGCGAAAAATGTGGTCAATTAAGCCGGGCTTCCCTTTCGCGGCAAAACGGGTGAAAACCCGTCATGCAGGTCTTTGACTTGACGATCCAATTCTCATGTCAGGCGTTGGGCATCTAGAATTTGCAGGATAGGTTGTTTGATGCATTGTACTGGTACCATGAATTTGGGTCACTTTCACAGTTTTTGCTTGACGAGCGCTCGGATTGTTGTTTATTTTGGTCTGTTTCTTGATGGGCCAAGGGGTCAGGCCAGTTCAACGTAACAATGTAATTGTGGAGGGGGGCGGGCACGGGGTTGAAATGGCCAGGAGAAGGCGGAAGCGCAGAGTACTTTGGAGGTCTCCAAGGAGGATGTCAAATGGGCGGCAGGAAGATGAACAAAACCCCTTTCGGTTGAGAACTTGTGAAGGGTTTTCGTTCGGTTTCCTTGGGCTTTTCAGAGTCTTCAATGGTTTCCTATGTTCTGTTGGTTTCAGTTGGTGCTTGGCTGGTTCGTGGCTAGCTTCAGTTGATTTCAGTTGGTGTTCAGCTGGTTTCCATCCG